ACCAAATACCGATTATCTCCCAATGATGCCTCCTTAAAAGGCTCCCAAATGCCTGACTGAACACCACCTAAAAGACCCATCGATCAATGGATAGGAGTGTCAAACTCCACCTCGGTCTTCTTGTTCATACCAATGTGCTCAAAAGACTTAAATCTGCAGGTCAAAGCACTCCTCAACAAACCATGCACGACATAACCAATCAAATAACCCAGCCTCAACAAATACCACAGTCTAGCCAAATTCAAAGAAGTCATCAGCTCTCTATCAAACACTGTGCTCCCAATCAAATAATACAAATTATTCCTCCCGACGCCCTTCATCACAATCATGGACCCCAATGTGACTTTCAAACGTGAATCGACCAAGGTCACCCTATAGCCTGCTGCCTCCAAAACTCCAAGTAAAATGATGTTCTTCTTCAACTGAGGAACGAATCTCACTCCAACCAACTCCCGAATCACTCCGTCACTCATCCTAATCCGAACGGTACTGATACCACCAATAGGACATTCATGATCATTACCCATGAGCACAACCTCCCCTCTTTCCAACTCCTGAAAGCTGGAGAACCAATCCCTCCTAAGGTAAATATGGTAAGAAGCACCCGAATCTAACATCCACTCTGTAGAGTCGGCAACACAAACTTACGATAGTACATATAACGAGTAGCCTGAAGAATCTGAATCTGAATTATTGCCACTAGCCTTGACAACATTCACCTCTGAAGCTTGAATAGCTTTCCCCTTATTTTTCCCGGCTCGATCAACCAACTTTAGGCATTTGGCTTTCCAATGTCCATCCCCTTTACAAAAGACATACTGCTTCCTACGAACTCCAAGATGTGCCCCTCTAGATTGTGACCTCCTACCACGGTTTGAACTCTTTGCTCTTGCGTCCAATGCCCCCGCTATTGGCTCAACTGAAGTCTCATTATCCTTCTTTCGAAGATGATAATTCACAAGTGCAACGGTGACCTCAATATAAGAAAGAGATGTCTTCCCATTAATAAGAGTAAGAACGAATGTTTCATATTCCTCGTCAGGCAAGGAACTCAACAACAACAACGCATTGTCATCATCTTCAATCATCACATCTACATTCACCAAATCCGCAAGAAGCTTCGTGTAGTGGTTCATGTGATCACCAATGGAGGTCCCCTTCTTCAATTGGAAGCGATAAAGCATCCTCTTCAAATGCAAGCGGTTCTCTACACTTTTGGTCAAATACTTACCCTTTAATATCTCCCAAATCTTCTTAGCCGAAGTCTCATTGATCACATCATATTTTAAATCTTGAGTCAAATAAGATCTAATCACACCACACGCCGTTCTATTCATCTTTTTCCAAACCTTCTCCTCAATGTCTTCCGGTTTCCCGTCCAACTTTAATGTATCTTCCAAATTTTACCCATTGAGCGCATCCAAGACTTCACATCTTCAAAGACCAAAATTGTTTATGCCATTAAATTTCTCCACATCTATCTTCATAGAGTGGATATTCAAACTTTGGACGGTCTTCACGTCGGAAGTACCCTCCACAACTCTTTTTTTCCCGATCATCTTTCTCAAAGCACCAAAACAAATGCAGAATAAATAAAGAATAGATCCAAAATTGAAAAAGATAGTGTCTTTACGAAAAAGATTCTATCTTTATCACCAAACGAAGCCCTAGGTGAGCCTCCAAAATGACCTACTTCTCCAAATAGCCCAAGCGTAGCCCGAGCTCTAATACCACTTGTTGAGCGCTGCGGAAGCCAAACAACCAAACAAACGTGCTACGAGAAATCAAATCAAACAAACGTCGAGAGAAGGCCAAACGAACCAAATCAATGCCACAAACACAAACAACCAATTTTAACGTAGTTCGGCAAGTTGCCTACGTCCACGGGACAAAAAGGGGATAGAGTTTTTCACCAATAGAGAAAAAGAGTACAAACTGAGATTACAAATCACTCAAACTCACCAATTAATCTCACCAACAAATCTCTAATTCTCTCCAAACAAAACCCTAACCAATAGCTCAGAAAATACCTCTTTTATGTGCTCCAAATATCCCCAATTTTCTTCTCAATTCTCTCTTCCAATTGTTCCATATATATAGAAATCCTAAAATCATAAACATACTAGGAATTCTAAAACAAAAAACAAAACATATTAGGAATTCTAATAACCTGTTACCAAAACAGATTTGGAATCATGTTACCAAAACAGATTAGGAATCCCAATAACCTGTTACCAACAAATTAGAAAACATATTAGGAATCTGCTATCTAACAATTCTCCACCTCGATGAAGTTTTCCCAAAACTGAGCCGACACCAATACCAAACAGTTAGAGGGAATAAATCAAATTTAAATTTTTTTAATTATCTTCTTACAAATTTTCCAACAAACATGAACATGTGGGGTTTGCACGTGCAAATGATTCGTTGCTTTGATCACCGTTGCTACTCTTTTTCATTAAGCTCATTGTTCGTGTCGAAAGTTGTTTTCATTGCTGAATCCATTACACATTTATCGGTTAAAGATTTAAAGTAAAATTAGTCTTTTTATAAGACTTTCTTACACAATGAAAATAAGAAAAATACAACTCTCTTCAAACACACACAGATGCCGTTTATCACCCGCTGCTTGCGTGAGATCTTTGTCTGTGTCGGGGTTTATCTGTGGACCACCGCGGATCAGATCCAGTTGATCGGAATAAAAGATCATTGCTCTTGCTTCACAAATGAAACAATCACAAAAGTGATAATCACGACCAAGTGAGATTACGACTCTTCTCGAGATCAAAACCAAGTTTGATCCAGATGAAAGGGGAAACATGCCTCAAATCCTTCGAATAGTTCACTCTTTATGCTGAAGTTCGCCAAGATTTGCTAGCCCTCCTCTGAAATTCGTGGACCACTCTTCAATTTGACAGCACCTCACCTAGATTTCTGATCCCCCCTGCGTATAGGGCCTAGGCTTGTATTTATAGGCTTCAGTTGCAACGTTTTTGGATAAGAATTGATGATTTGACGTTATTCTTAGTTAATAACCGTTTAACCACATTTAGGGATAGCTTCAAAACAATTAGGGAGGCTCTGGAACGAAAGAATCCCTTGAAAACTATCGAAAAACGCGTTTTCAGCGTTTCTGGGTGCGAGCCACACAACAGTGGCTCAGATCTGTGCGAGCCACCACATGGTGGCTCGGTCTTGATCGAGCCACCTTGGGGTGGCTCAGCCTTGGCCGAGTCGTTTCGACGCGACTCGGCCGCCAGAGGCTTTTTTGGTTTGTTCCTGTTTTGCCGTTTTGCATAATTCGTCGTTCTGTTGACTCGTAGCTTCACTGATTCGCTTTATGCATTTCGTTAACTTGGAGGTGTCTGATGAGCGTGCAGGCCACTTGGAGGTGTCTAATGAGCGCGCATGTACTTGGAGGTGGCTGATGAGCGCGTGGTTCCTTGCTTTGTCGTTCCGGTGGCTTGTTGCATGAACATCGTCTGACGGTTCGCCGCTCGACGGCTCATCGTCTCAAGCTGTGTTTGGGACCTATAGGCAATTTTTGACGCCTACACTCATTGAGACCATTATTTTTATCTTCACATTCCTACCTGTTCGTGCAGTTAACCCTTTGCCATTATACCCTTAAAGTTAGAATTGTAGCTATAAGCTGAAGTTTGAAATGCTTTGGCCCTGTTTGGCAAAGGGTTAAGGAAGAGGGATTATGGAGAATGATTAACGTATTTAGCTCATTCAATAGACTCGAAGGACCATAAACTAATCTTCCAAGTTTACAAGTATGTTCTAAAGCTACCCCAAAAAAAAAGTTGAATTTCATAGACGTTCCTGCTCCTAACGGAACTAAGAAATTCCTTATGGGCTTCGAGAAGCAATAATCCATAAAGTTTAGGAGCAAGCGTGTGGGGGCTTATATAAGAAATGTGAAGAAGACGAAGTAGAGGCTGAGTTAGATGCATTATTTATTTATTTGTTTGTCTATTTTTTATTTATGTCTACTGTATATTGGCTTAGCTTTTAAGCAATCTTGGAATCTTGGGTGCGATTTTGGGGAGGGGCTTTTTGCCTTGCCGTCCGCACACCTGCCAAGGAGAAATGAGCAAAAGCGAAAGAAAAGTTGCGATGTAAAAATGAGAAGAAAACCCCCTTCACATTCTTAATTTGTTTTTCTATTCCTTTTTTCATTTTCGTTGTATGCTAGCTAGATTTCATTATTTAACAAAGATAAGTTCACAAGGTTTCTATTTTTTTAAATATAGAAAAATCAAGTGAATGTCGTGAAATCTCAAAACTTACGATCATTTTTTAGGTTTTTCTATCTCAGTTTTATTTCTTATGCATTATGTACTAGAATTCCAAATTTATCAAAGACGAATTTTCTTCCTTTGTCATTGTGTGGGAATATCTAATGGCAGATATTGTGTAACAAACCCTTCATTTCTTCAAATTTTCGGAGATGTACGCTTAAAATTGAGATGTCAAAGCAAAATCTACTGGGCTACTTTCTTCCTTGTGTTAGATTATTCCGATTCAAAAGATGTTAAGACACCACGAGAATAACTAGGAAAAATTCTTATCATCTATTTCGTGTCAAAATTTACATAGAAAATATCTCATCAACTGCATTTTTTTGAACCCTCAACATAAATTAGAAAACATTAATGCCTTGCAGCGTATGAGAAAGTATTATATCACGTGAAGTGTTAATAGTGCATCAAATGGAATGGATGTGCGATCTTTTATCTTTTATCTGTATAATAAAAAAAAAATCCCATTTAAGTTTCTCTATGATCCTCACAGAAGTGTGTGCTTTGCAACTAATCACTGTAAGAATTTTCTTTTAATTAGTGTAAGAAAAGTATAAAAAAAGACTTAGCTTAGGTCCGACGCAAAAGTAAGCCGAAAGAAATCTGCCAATAACACTTGAAAGCGCATCTTTTTCCCCCCACACAGAGACTAAGTAGAAAATCAATACGTATGTTTATATCCCCATTAACATAACTCATGCCCATATCTCAACCTCTCTCTCTCTCTCTCTCTCTCTCTCTCTCTCTCTCTCTCTCTAGCTTGATGTCTTGCTTCCCTGATTCGACCAAAGCTTGGAGAAAACTCACCTCCAAACTCCGAACCAAGCTCCAAAAGCTCAGAAGATCAAAGACCATCAAGAAAGCAACTTCTCATCTCAACAGGAGAGGAAATTACCCCGCGAAAAGGCTGCGTCGTCGTTATCGCCACCATCATCAGGGTTTTGATCCTGTTTTTGTGGATGAGCTCTTCCAACAAACCGCGCCAAGTGTTACTGAACATGTAGTACTTGAACCAGATATCAAAGCGAAGAGTCCAACCATTGAAGCTGCTGCTGCTGCTTCTTCTTCTTCTTCTTCTGCTGCTGCTGCTGAACATTATTTCAACTGTTCTTCGGTTGATGAGAGAGCAGAGATGTTTATAGCCAAGTTTAGAGAAGAGATGAAGCTTCAGAGGCAGAGATCACTTGAGAAATATCAGGAGATGCTTGCTCGTGGGTTGTAAATTAAGGAATGGGTATTGTATGATTTTAATTATTTGTGCTTTATGTTTTTTCTTTTCTTTTTTTTTAGTACTGTAAGTAATTGTTTGGAAGTTTGAAGGTGCTAATGCTGTAATTAATATCTTGGGTAAATTATTACGCTTGACGACGGACCCCCATGAGTTATTAGGTGTTTTGCACTAAACCCCTATGAACTTCGGGCCATTTTGGTGTTGCTTTTTTCGGAACGCTTCTGCTTATTTTCTAGAGAAGCAGTCAATAATGGTGTTTGTGAAATCTTTTCGATCTGCTTATTGAAATCGCTTATGCTTTTTTCGAGAATGATCAGAGCTTTGTGAAACTCTACAACAGCTTCAAGAGCAGCTTTTGATATATGATTACTAAACATGACTAGTTTCAGCTTGCTCCTATAAGCTGCTCATGTAAACCAACTTTATTGTAATTATAAGCTCTAGGAAAAACTCACCTCCAGACTCCAAACTGAACTCCAAAAGCTTTAAGATATCAAAGACCATCAAAAAAGCAACTCCTCATCTCAACAAGACAAGATAAGGGAGAAAATGGTATCCTCATCAGCATCATCAGGGTTTCGATGATGTTTATGACTAGTATTTGAGCCTGTAGTATTTGAACCAAAGAGGACAGCCGAAGCTTCTTCTTCTTCTTCCGATTATTATTATTAATTATTTCAATTATAATTCGGTCGATGAGAGAGCAGCAAATTTTATTGCGAAGTTTAGAGAGGACATGAGGCTGCGGAGGGAGGTCACTTGGAGAGTATGAGGAGATGCTTGCTCGTGGACTGTGAACTTTTAATGACGGTAAATCACACAACCCCCAAACAGGCCCAGAAAAATGCCTCATGGACCCTCAAAATAGAGGACCCTGAGTGGGACATGTGAGGTGTCGCATTCCTATCCCGTGATGCACTGTTCATAAATAGTACATCACGGAACAGTGAGGCGACACCTCACATGTTCCACTCAGGGTCCCCTATTTTGGGGTCTCTGTAGCAGCACCCGCCCCCCAACCCCCACCACAAAAAAAAGGGCAACAAAAAAGAAAAAAAACAAAAGAAAAAATTTAACATTTTGTAGTTAAAGCCCCAATAACTTTCAAAATCATAGCAAACCCCCAATAATTTTTGAAATAGTAGAAAACACCAATTCAGTTTCCGCGTTTTGTAGGTAACCCCCATAAATTAGACCAAAAACAACACAAAAAAAAATCATTTTGAAGGACAATTTTTAGCAAAAGAACAAAAAGAAAAATAGGGTTTAGAACCTTAACCCGGGTGCAAGCAAGAGGAGAATGGATGACAAAAGACGAGAGATTTCTGTATGTAGGGTCGAAAATATAAATAATTTAAGGGGTATTTTGACCTTTTTAAGCCACATTAGTAGCAAATGCCAAACTTTGAGGGTTTTCTACAAAAGTTGTCGGGTATTTAGTGTGACTTTGAAAGTTATTGGAGGCTTACTGCAGAATGCTAAAAGTTATTGGGGGTGTTCTGCGTAACTTATCTTTAATTAAATTGTTATCCCGTGGAAAATTCACCTCAGTAAGAAATTTCTTCTGGCTTTCGGTCCTCAATTCATAGACTGCATATTGAAATACACATTCCATATTTGGTGATATTCCTCCCCTATACATTTTATTAGTCTGCCATAAGACGCAAAAAATCAATAACCACACTTTCCAATTATCTCTACAGATGTTTCTTTCCATGTTTACTGAAATGTCTGCTATGCTTCACATAAATAACTTGTGGCTGATCTAAATCTTCGCACGGTCAGGTAACCCTCACAATGAGCTAATCATTTCAAATTATCCGCATTCTCTCACGAAATACGAAGTAAACTTTGGACATTTTAAAAAACCCAAAAAAAAAAAAATTCTTCAAAGACCCAAAATATGAGACCAATAAGGAGGACAAGTGAGGTGTCCCCCTCCTATTGGATAATAAGTTGGCCATCGTTAATAATGACCAACTCATTATCCAATAGGAGGGGGACACCTCACTCATCCCCCCTATTGGTCCCATATTTTGGATCCATGTAGCAAAGCTTTAAAAAAATTTGCTCTCGACGAGAAAAGGGCAGAGAAGGCTCAAACTTGCATAGATAGAACCTCGACCTTCTCCATAAACAGAACAAATTAATACACTCATGGTACCGTTTTCGTTATCGGTTCAAGCTTAACGTACATCATCAGAACAACCCGGCAAATATGCAGCAACGTAAAGTGACACACTAAACAAATCCCTGAAAGAAATCAAAACTCATAGCTTATGCACACATACAACCCTCAGCCTTGTGCCTGTCACCAAAATCGAATCAATGAAGGAAATCCTTCATAGGATCATCATGATGAACCCTCTTCATCCGATAAGCTTCCATATCTTCAGCAGTCACCTCATCACTCCACTTCACATTATACTTCCTCTTCCTTTCGTCTCTCTCCTCCTTCTTCCTCGCCTCCTCCTTCTTCAAAGCCTCAGCCAGTAACTTCTCATCAAGAACCAAATCATCTGGAACTTCAGTTCCCCATGTAGCAAGCCTTTTCTCTTCCTTTTCCTCCAATTTCTCTTCTGTAGCCTCTTTACGAGCAATATTTGCCTTCATAAGATCAGCTGCAGCTTCAGCGGCCTCAATCCCAGCTGAACCAGTGCAATAACTATTTCGTATCAATTGCTTGCAGCAAAGATAACCCCACTGATGATCCTTCCACCACGAACCCCAAACAGTTGTATGATTATTTATATACACGTCTTCTTCATATTTGCTCTTTGGAAGAGCCATCTCTTGTCCCTTGATGATTCTGCCAGCGCGGTCGTACTCAACCTCTCTCTCGCTTTGTCCTAAAAGGAGTTCCTTTGGAAGAGACTCTTCGGATGCTGCGTTTCCATATTTTTCCATTATTGTGTCTTTTGTTTTGGATTTCAGCTTCTCTTTGATTACCTTGTAGTTTTTGAATAAGAGTTCAGCTTGGGACGGAGCGGCTTGCATGTGAATGTCTTGACCCTTTTCAAAGGCTTCCCACGCATGAAGGTTTAGTTGCTTGAATTCCATTGCTTGTCCGCTCGTTCTGTATTGGTTATCCCCCTGAGAGTATTTAAAAAAAAAATTGCCTATGGTTAACTTTTTACAATAATTTAAAAGGGTTAGCTTAATACGGTTAAGTTCAGATGCACCCAATGTATTATGGGGTGTAGTCATTTTTACGCCCTATGCTATAATATTAGCACTTACACCTCCTGAATCTCAGGTGACATTATTTCTCGTGTTAGGTTGACATGTTACATGGTAACGTCATGATAAATTACTTTTTCCCTCCAGTGTAATTTAAAAAGACTAAACTCCACCTCTAAACTAAGAGCTCACTCACAATGATACTCAGGGGGTGTCACTGGTTTAGGGAGTACAAGTGGCTCCAACCCCTAGTAGAGTTGACCCCTATGAAATTTATAGTGTGCACAAAAACAAAGTTTTAAGGACTTATATATGGCACGTACTTCATAGAACTTCTCATTTGGATCGCTATCTGGCAGCGGATCCTCACGCATTGACCGTGTTTTTGGGTCATAATGAGCAGAATTGACATCGAGATTCAAAAGATATTTTGCAGTATCTTCCCGAATACGCAAATTCCTGAAAACAAACAATTAGCAATATATGAGCCTCAAGATAAGACGAAAAATAAATGAAATAATTTCCATGCAATCAGACTTACCTGACTGTACCAGTACTACCACCACCAGTGGTGCGCACACGTTTCTCAACCTTTGCAAAATCCATCTGTTTGCTTTCATCAACCTTGGCTTCGTCAACTTTTAGGTCGTCCTCATCATCATCCTCATCACTAATGGAATCCTCACCACCACTCTCGGTTTTGTTTCTCTCCTCGAGTTTCTTCAGTTGCTGCTCCTTCAGATATTTCCTTCTAGCTTCATCCCTAGCTTCGTATCTCTCCATTACGTGGGCATAAGTGGAGGCATCAAAACCATTCCAACGATCACGTTTGCCATCATAATCAAGCTCAAATGTCTCCACCTTCTCATCAGGAGCTATATGCATGTTTGTCCACTTAGCTCCCAGCTTCCTTGGTCTCTCCATGCATGACTTCTTGTCATGAGTCATGGCCCCACAACTGCAGAAATTGGAAAAAAAATTTAAACAAATTAAATCAATATTAAAGTATAGCAAAACCAGACAGCAATCAGAATGCTTAAATCCGTTATAAGAGTAATACATGAATGATCAAGAAGACTTTTCTGCACTTCACAAGATGCAACATGGCCAAATTTCCTTCTCTACAGTTAGTGATCAAGAGGAAAATTTAAGTAGCAACAACGTTCACAGATTCAGTGACAAGACCATAGAGCAAAAGGATGGGCTTTGCTTTAAGGAATAGATTTTGCAACTAACATCATAGTTCTAGAACATGGCCAACAGAGAAAACCGAGAACAACAAACAACAGGAAGCATTACAGAATAGGTCTATACCGTAGTGAGATCTCATTTCAAGATACTATAGAGGGAACACTGTTAGTAATCTCCATCAAATAGTGACATGATTACAACTCGCCAGGACCCTACTTGCATCAAGATCCATATCATAAATTGACTTTGAGCGAGGCAAAGGAAGGGAAGGAGTTACTTACTTTTCACAAGCACCTTTTCTAAATCGGTCAGCTTGGAAGATCTTGGCACCTCTGTCATACCACGCTTTGGTATAGTTGGGATCAGATTTCCATTTTCTTTGATGTTTCAAACTCTATAAAGTTAAGGTGACAAACATGATTGTTAGGTAAGCATATTAATCTGGTGCAAGTATTAAAGAGACATGATGAACACATTGAGCTTACCGGTCTCTCAGCGTTAAGGTACCAAGGAGCTGATGACATATACTGAGGTATGTGAGGATTGATCTCTTTTCCATCTTCATCGACCTCAGCTGGTGCCAGCCCAGCCTTACGAGCTTCCTCCAATTCGAGTTGTTTCCGATGGTCTTCTCGAGATTTAAAGGAGACTGAAATTGATAAAGACGATATATGTTAAAGACCTAAAATTACAAAATATGAAAGTCCTCCAAAAGAATAAGCAAATAAATAAAAATGCCTGGAATTTGTATTCTTTTTTCATAACTTTCCTTATTGCAGAGCAAGAGTGCCCAAACAAGGATTTATTCACTTCTTCCAACATACAGCAAACTAATCAGAGTAGCAAAACCATAATATTTGCTTGAGAATTATGATTTGATCTGAATATAATTACCATGTAAAATGAAACCCGACATGAGAGACATTAACACAAGATGGAGACCATTTTGATCCAAGAATTCAACACACTAAGTCTTATACTCCAATCAAATGTTGAATATTCAATGTCACATTTTGTCTATGAAGTGGGACTAAATTAATATTCCATTTGTTCCCTTATCTTGAGTAACCGAATAAGAGAAACAAACATAAGATTTTCAAACTGGCATCAATAAACACAGTCTATGTGATGTTTCCAATTGGCATCAACTATTAAACCATCTAAATGTTGTTCATATGATGTTTAAGGTATTAATATAAGTATTTATCAAAGGTTAATATATGACCTGCATTTTAGCATCTCCATGCACCGGTTTTTATCTTTGTAAAAACCACCTTTAAAATAGGGTTATTCTATATAAGGCACCTTTGATTTTTTTTTTTTTCATTTTATATATAAAGCACTTTTAAAAATGTTTTTTGTTGCAATCAACCACCTGGGCCCACTTTTCAATTAAGTTTTTTTCTTTTTTTTTCCAGTGACTGACCTCGCCTAACATAAATTGAGCAATATCTCTCAAATACACTTTGGTACTTGACAACTAATTATTAGAGCGAAACCGAAAAAAACATAACTTAAACAAGTTCAAATTGGCAATCAAAGGTGGCTTCTATAGAATGTCCCTATTTTAAAGGTGGTTTTCTATGGGGAAAAAATTATTTTTACTTCGCAATTCAAAAGGGTGAGTGAAGAAGCTGAAAAATATAAAAAATGAGGTAAAAAGTATGACTATAATTGTTGGTCGTAGATGGTGGTGTTTATGGTCACACCTAGTAATTCCTGACATTTCACATGGACAAAAGGGAGAAAGTTGCAAAGTCAGGGTTAGGTATAGCGCTTGAAAGTGAGAAGGATGTTTATACGTCAACGTATAAGAAGGATTTTTTTTCACCTTGCAGATATTGAAATTTTTACTAATGAAATTAGTTTCAGTTAAGATTCTTGATTACTGGAATTTACGAGCGGTTTCAATTAGGATTCTTGATAACTAGAATTTATTGAGGTGATGGTTTTCAAATCTGTTAGTTCTTTGGAAAATAAAAACAGAATGTCACATGAAAACAGAACTTTTAAATTAGTTCGAGTATATTCATACTTCCACGAACTCAGATGCTAAGGAGACCTCATTGGAGTTTATCATGTAACCAAAATTACAATAATACAGACTGAAATGACAGCAATACCAAATATCTTGGAAAATAAAAAGAAAATTTGGCACTGGAAACAGCAATACCAAATATCTTGGATCTTCAGAACTAGAGGTAAGCTAACTTATCCCAGCTTGTTGGCCTCCCATTTGCCAATAGGCTTTTATTTTTGGGTTTTTTTTTTGGGGGGGGTTGGGGGGTTGGTATATTTACCTCTGGCATATTTGCAAAACTATCCATGAAATCATCTACTTTGGTGAAACAATATGCCCCAAATCAACAAATCGTCTACTTTGTTATGCTGAATTTTTTTTTAAAGTTTGATAATTTGGAGATAGTTTTCCAGTAAATATGATAAACATTCCTTTTTCCTTGATAAATGCCATAACAGAAACAAGCACTGCTATTGCCGAGTACTCGAACTCTTGGTGAATGTATGGGCTTATCACAGCGCCAGAAGACTAGTTTACATTGATCCAGTTAGTGGGCAAATGCAAGAACAGCACCCTAAAGATCAGCGCATCGGGAAAATGTGGGTTAAGTACTTTGACTTCACATTGTTGAAGAGTATGGATGAGGATTTAGCCGAAGAAGCAGATGATGGCATACATCCAACAGATAGATGGCTTTGGCCTTTAACTGGAGATGTACATTGGTCAGGGGTCTTCGATAAGGAGAGGGAGGAAAAATATAGGCGGAAAATGGATAAGAAGAGATTGAATAAGGCCAAGCTATTGGATAGGCATAAGTTTGGATACAAACAGAAATCTTTAGGATAGTAAGTAGAGAATCCCTTCAAGATGGTTGCACTATCAATCCTTTGGCTCGAAGCCGGTGCTGCAGCTTGAGCTGCAGTTCATACAGATATATGATGATATTGTGTGAATTTTTTTTTCCTCATGATTCATTCTCCCAAGGAGAAGAGGAAAGACATTAAGCGCTGGGCTGGTCAGAAGGACGAATTCCTTGTTTTTGTTTTCCCTCTCATTTTTACATTGTTTTTTTTTTCGAGATTCAGTCTGAGAATTCTACAGAAGAAGTTTTGCTTAGAGACAGTAGATATTCTTTGTGACTGAGAAATTTGAGCAGTTATTCTCAAAATACGAATGTTACTGCTAACCAGAGATGTAACTTTTTACACAGTTGCAAATGAAGAAAATAACAGGCCATATTTTCAATGACAATAGAAAGGGGGATCACAGCAGTATTTTGTACGCAGGCTGCGCAGCTGCCCTTTTAAGTTCTGTTTCCGGTGCGATTTTTTTTTATTTATTTTCCAAGATATTTGGTATTGCTGTCATTTCAGTCTATATTATTGTTATTTTGGTTACATGATAAACTCCAATGAGGTCTCCTTAGCATCTGAGTTCATGGAAGTATGAATATACTCGAACTAATTTAAAAGTTCTGTTTTCATGTGTCATTCTGTTTTTATTTTCCAAAGAACTAACAGATTTGAAAACCATCACCTCAATAAATTCTAGTTATCAAGAATCCTAACTGAAACTGCTCGTAAATTCCAGTAATCAAGAATCTTAACTGAAACTAATTTCATTAGTAAAAATTTCAATATCTGCAAGGTGAAAAAAAATATCCTTCTTATACGTTGACGTATAAACATCCTTCTCACTTTCAAGCGCCATACCTAACCCTGATTTTGCAACTTTCTCCCCTTTGTCCATGTGAAATGTCAGGAACTACTAGGTGTGACCACAAACACCACCATCTACGACCAACAATTATAGGCATAATTTTTACCTCCTTTTTTATATTTTTCAGCTTCTTCACTCACCCTTTTGAATTGCGAAGTAAAACACTTCAAAAAATTTCAACAATTATTACAAGAAAAGGTTATACAGACATAAACACCAAGTATCCCAATCGACAATAATTTCTATTCTCAATTAACATTTTTCTACAAAAACGAAGAAATATAACTCGTCTTTCTCCTAAAAGCTGGAGATTTTGATAAGATCACATGCTCCGTCCGTATAAAACCTAAATTTCTCCCTCCCTTTCATCAAAATCTATCCGTATAAAAACCCTAATTTCTCCCTGCCTTCATCAAAACCTAACCAAATCCAGAGCTGAAAACACAGGAAGGAAAGAGGAAGTAAAGGAAATTACCTGAAGCCGTCGCCATTTTCGCCTCGAATCTCAAGAATCGAAATCGAGAAGGAAGGAATTTCGAGAAAAGGGAAGATGCCTGCGACGATTTTGGGACGAATTCGAAACCCTAATTTTCTATCGAAGAGCGCTACCGTGCAAATGCGAACCACCCTCCCCTATTTTTTTTTTAAGTCCCACGTTTATGCACGTGCATTGCACGTGATTAGATATCATGGTTAAGTTTTTTTTATTTTTTTTTCTAGTTGTTCATCGGTTTTACTTTAATAGTTTATGTTTAATTTTATCTCTAATTTTCTTTGATGTTTGTTTAAATGGGTTGTATCTAATTTAAATTTTCACGTTGATATTTGAATTGATAGAAAACAAATATAATCTGAAGCTAATTTAAATTTTTATATTATTTGAACTGACATAAAACCAAGCTTTACTTGAGAAAGTATAGTGTTGCGAAAGTGAAAAATATTGAAACAGTGTTATACAGGAAAAGTGAATATTTAAAACTAATAAGGAAAGGTGATTATTAAAAGTATGCTAAAACGATACAAAAAAATATATAAAATTTATTCCTAATCATTAATAGACTTCATAAAAATTATAAACTAAATATTAATGTTAATTCTAGTATACTTTATATGATAAAGGCATCCAGATAAGCATATAAAGGTACTAAAAAAAGTTCATGAACTCCCTTTCTAAAGATTCCTAGTTTCATTCAAACCAATTAAACTATTCTATAAAATATTTAAAAAATATTGTCTTTTATTCCTTCTATTTTATTTTTTTTTAGCTAAGATCAATCCTTCTTCACCTTTATCTTTTTCCTGGACAATTCTAGAATAATATCTTCATCATCTACATCGATTGTGACATCGGGCTGGAGTTGTATTTTTTACATTGTTATCTTTCCTAGGCTCGTTATTCTTTGATCTTCTCGTTTAACTTCACAAAGAAGTCGACTGTATTTCTGATGTTCAACACAAACTTTTTGAAATACAGACTTTGATTTTTTTTCCTATTTTAATGAGAATAAATTTTAATTTCATATATATATAATTATTTGTGTTCGAAATTTATTACTTAAATAAGATTAGGAGCTACCTCTATTTCATCTACAATGAATTCTTTTGATATGCATCCAATAAAAGTTTCTATTATATCAATAACGTTACTTTTGATCTCCCTATCGTTTTTCACAAAGATCTGAACTAAATACATCTATTTTCATTACCAATTTACCTTAGATTATAGTATTAATATTTAATTTCTTTAGAATTTGAAGAACAAAGTATAAAATTTATGAATACTTACTAATTTTTCTTATATCTTCCATGGAGAATTCTTCATTGATTGAGATAAAGTTGTTTATTATTCTTTAATGAAACTCAGTCAGTGTTTTTTTGATATATTTCTATCACTTTTATCATTTGCAATGGAAATAACTTGATTCTTTTGAATGGTATCTTTGAACATTCTGATAGTTTCTCTATATGTAATTTATTGTATTATTTTACCTTGCAAATATTACTAACATCAGAGATTAATGTTTCTAAATTATAATCAATCAATGCTAAGCTATTATATTATAGTCTTTTATCATTTTTATGGATTTAAGCATCTATCAATTAAATGTTACTAATGTATTTTTGTTGCTCCAACTTGTTAGTAAAATTACATGCAATTACTTTGATTTATATTGTTACAATAATTTTAAAGCTATCATATATTTTTTTTAAAATTTTTATTCCTTAATCAAATATTTTTAATCAATTCTTACTTTGTTTACGAGCATCAATTTAGACTACTTTTAGATGCTGAAAAGGGATAATAAACTCTAGATTGTAAATTATACACACACACACACACATACACACACCAAATAATTACACATTTCTTTTCCAAGTTTTAAATTTTAAGCCCTTTTTTGTGGTTTTGAACTTTAAGGGTGCTATTTATAATTTTTAAAACTTTGGGAGTGTTTTTAAAAAAATTACTTTTTTAAGTTTGGCAATTGTAACTTTTATGTTTCATGTGTCGGTAGTAATTTTCAAATGTCAGAGTATTTCCCGCAACTCTAAAAATTTAAGCATTCTTTTTGTAATTTCTAAAATTGTAGATTAATTTTTGAAAAACTCAAATATCGGTGGTCTGCAATATTTTCCAGATTTAATATGTACTTGTTAAAATCTTTAAAATTTTAGAGTTTTTAGCAATTTTTAAACTTTGAAGAAGTCTTTGTTAGACCCTAGAGGGGGGGTGATTAGGGTCTTATGCTAATCTAATCCGATTATATGCCAATTAAAAACTAGTTAACAAGTTATCCTAGCAAGTATGAAATACAACATGATATGTGAGCTAGGATAAGTAATATGAACAATAAAATATATCCTATATGATAAAAATATATGCAAGGATATATAAACTAACACAAGATGATATATCCTACCAAAGAGATATACAATATGATATATGTAAGGATATGAAAACTAACACAATGGGTAAACAATATGAACTAGATAATAATGAGACAATGGCGAAATGAGCAATGAGCACAAATAAGAATAAACGCCAAAGCACACTCAAACACAATCAAATGATCACGGAGTTCGGACCTTCCGTCCTACGTCTCCGCTCCCCACTCCCGGGGAGAAATCCACTATCACAACCGGGTTTTGTACGTTCACCCGAATAACGTTTACACCTTACACTCGGTTTTCTAGCTAACCGAAAACTTTACAATCAACACTCTTGCAATCACACTCTACACCCTCACAAGTGTTAGACCTAGCCGTGTCTCCCTCAAGTGCTCGGTTACAACCTCTCTCTAGGCTCGTCAACCGACGCCACTCCTCTTGGGACGATCCCCGACTCTCACCACACACTCCTCTCGGTGTACAAGTGTATTACAAAGTGAATCTCACAATATGGCTCAATAAATGTTTGTTCTCTACTATGGATGAGAACACAATGAAAGCTCACACTCAATGTTACAACTCTCACCAACCCAAATATGTTATGAATGCAAATACAATAAGCTCAAGTGGGTGTGTGCAACAATGAGTAAAATCAAATCTAAACTCAATATAAAACTAGCTTTAATAGAAATGATAATTAACAAATAATTGATAAATAAAAGCTAGAATAGAGTTTAGAAAACTTCTCAATAGATGACAAGATGGAGAGTTGGAGATTGAAGCTCAAACAAGAAGATAATCTCCTTCACTTGTGAAAACCAAAACAGTTTTAAACCAAACTCAAACCAACCATAAACCCTTGTTAAAAACTTTCTTAAACTTGTTTAAAACACTCTCATAGTTACTGAGATAGAAGGGGGTTTGGCGGTTTATATAGGAAGAGGAAACAACAGTAAAAACCCCAAACAAATAACAAAAAAGCCCAAAGCAAATAGCTCAGAAAAATAGCCGTTGGAAACCAACGGTCAAATCGGCGGTCGACCGTGGAATTCTCGCGGTCGACCGCGAGGCACAAAAAAGGCTGAACAGAGGGTTTGAAAGCTGGCGGTCGACCGCAGCGGTCGACCGTGGGAAATTCTGAACTCACGGTCGACCGCGACGGTCGACCGGGAAACTCTCTGCTGCCCACTGACGAAAGATCTCAGGCGCGGTCGACCGTGGCGGTCGACTGTGAACTGATATATGAAAATCTGATTTTGAAACCCTGTTTAAAAATATCAAACAAATTCTAAAAAATGTAAAACTTTGAAGAATGATTGTAGACAAAATAATAAATATGCTACAATGACTGGTTACCAAAAAGGACTTCCCAAATGAAAAATATCATCATTTTGCAAAATAGTCCAAAACACGAAAATGTAAACAAAATATCATCATTTTGCAAAATAGTCCAAAACACGAAAATGTAAACATATGAATTTTGACATTTAGGCTGAACCATGTTTTGAAACTTTGCACAATGATTTTGTAGACTTAACAAAATATGTATATGATTGTTATTAAGTCCATAAACTAAGAAAAATAATATTTTCACAAAATTGTATATTCTATGCAATATATACTAAAACACAATAATAAATATGAAACATGTGATTTCATATTTATAAACATGAAAACTCAAAAACACATGTATGTATATATATAACTATATATATGCATAGAAACCAAAACTTATGTATATATATATCTATATAACTATATATATATACGAAGAAACCAATAAATGTGTGTGTATATGATATTGAGCTTAGAGTATCTAACACACATAATATAAAATCTAAACTAGATTACCCAAGCTTGATCTTGATCTTCATTGTAGCTCAACTTGGTACACTGTGCGAATGAAGCTGAACTTGGATCTTGAACTTGAATTGCATAAGCTTCACCTACTATTCCGCCAACCTCCATTTGATATAATCGTTGAAGCTCTAATCCATCCATCCTCCAACTCGTTGTTTGTCTATAATAAATAGAAATATACCAATACTTCACAAACAACATTAGTGGTAAATTGTTTGTTAAACATCATCAAAACAAGAAGGCCAACGGTCTTTTGCTGTAATTTTTATAACTTTAAGGTTAATTTTGGTAAATTTTAAATTTTTTTATGCATGAAGGTAATCTATTGAATTTATCTTTTGTTGTTTACAAATTTTAAAATTTTAGAATTTTATGATGGTTTTTTATAATTTAAACTTTTGAGGGTGTTTCTATAATTTTTGAAACATTGAAGGTGTTAATTGGAAATTTTAAAGTCTTCAGAGGTTGTTGTTAATTTCTTAATTTTGTGTTTGTTGTTCTAAGTTTGAAATGTTAAAAATTTTCAGGTGCATCATGGTAATCCCTTGAATTTATTTATGTTGTTTGGAAATTTTAAAATTTTAGAATTTCAGGGTACTTATTTGTAATTTAAACTTTTGAGGATGTTTCTATGTTTTTTGAGACATTCAAGTATTAACTGTAAAATTTAGATTCTTCATAGACTGCTATTAATTTCTTGATTAATGTTTGTTGTTTTAAGTTTTGAAACGTTAAGCTGTTTTTTATAATTTTAAACTTTTCAATGTATTTTGTACAATTTTAAAACTTTTTAGGTTTTTTTGCAATACTTCATGTATTATAGTATATTAGCTACATATAAATTTTTTTACCTTAAAAAACTAATACCGTAAAGTTGTTTTAGTTTAGCAGTTGTAACTTCTATGTTTCATGTGTCGGTAGTAATTTTTAAATGTCAAAATATTCCCTACAACTCTAAAATTTTAAGCATTCTTTTTACAATTATTAAAATTGTAGAATAATTTTTGAAAAACTCAAATATCAGCGGTCTGCAATAATTTTTAGATTTAATGTGTACTTGTTATAATCTTTGAAATTTTTGAGTTTTTTGCGATTTTTAAATTTTGAAGAAGTCTTTTGTTACAATTTTTGTAACTTTAAGGTTAATTTTGATAAATTTTAAAATTTTAGGTGCATGAAGGTAGTCTCTTGAATTCATCTTTTTTTGTTTACAAATTTTAAAATTTTAGGATTTTATGATGGTTTTTTATAATTTAAACTTTTGATGGTGTTTCTATAAATTTTGAGGCATTGAATGTGTTAATTGGAAATTTTAAAGTCTTTTGAGGTTGCTGTTAATTTCTTAATTTTGTGTTTGTTGCTCTAAGTTTAAAATATTAAAAAATTTCAGATGCATCATGGTAATCCCTTGAATTCATTTATGTTGTTTGAAAATTTTAAAATTTTAGTATTCCAGGGTGCTTATTTGTAATTTAAACTTTTGAGGGCGTTTTTATTATTTTTGAGACATTCAAATGTTAACTGCAAATTTTAGATTCTTCATAGACTGCTATTAATTTTTTAATTAATGTTTGTTGTTTTAAGTTTTGAAATGTTAAAATGTTTTTTATAATTTTACACTTTTTAGGGTATTTTGTGCAATTTTAAAATTTTTTAGGTTTTTTACAATACTTTATGTATTATAGTATATTAGCTATATATAATTTCTTTATCTTAACAAACTAATGCCGTAAAGCTGTTTTATATATTTTATTAATATTTTTTAAATTGTTGAGCTATAGATAGTTCGCGTAAGATTAGGATATGATATAATTACAATTAGGATTGATTAAAATATAAATGAAATATTCAAAATAGTGAAAGGTAATATTGACCATGAAAAGATTTTCCCGAACTCGTGCTTTTTAAAAGGATTATGATATGATTGTAATGTGAATTTACGTGTTTGTAAGTTTTAATACAATTAATTTGATTATTGTATATTTAAAATTAGAAATCATATCTATTCCTCTATACTTAAAGGATAATCTAAGTTTTAATACATTTGATTTAAAAGTCATATCTACTCCTTTATATTTAGAGGATGATCTAAGTTTTAATATATTTGATTTAATTTACTGTTTATGATACAATAAAAAACTGTAGCATAAACAATAACTTCAAAAATACAGTACCAGATTTGAGTTATTGTTCACGGTACAGTAAGCACTCTTACTACTGGGGGTCAATTTATTATTCACGCTGCAGTATTTACTATAGCACCTGGGGTCGATTTACTATTTACGATACAATTTATTACTGCTACGGAGGGGTCGATTTATTGTTCACGATGCAGTAGTTATTGTAGTATTTACTATAGATTGTATATTGAAATCTTTAGATCCTCTAAGTATAGAAGAGTAGATGGATCCGCCTCGGAACTGACCTCGAGCTGCGAATAGTGCTCCTCGTATTCCTACATCACCACAGCCAAAATAGGAAGATGGCAATTTGATAGAACCCCCTAACTTTGAGCTGAATTATATTAAACCCCTACACTTTTAAAATAAGACAAACCCTCTCGACTTCTGGGAGTCTTGCCAAACCACCTAAAGTTCACAGGTTTTCCAAAAAACAACCCCAGGTTTAAGGTGTTTTTTTCTAAGTCCTTTGTAAAAGTTTAACTAAATAGGGTAAATATTATGGCAACCCCCCTCAAGTTTCGCCACTAATTATGAAAATCGCGCTGTTATTTTTTTTTAATTACGATATAGCTCTATTGTTTAAAGAGCTGTTAAGTTTTATTTAAAATAGCATGTGCAAGTCACATGTATTTTTATATTCCAACATCGCTTTCTTCTTCTTCATCTTGACATAGTTTCCCCTATATCATTCCCGTTCTTCTTCCTCTTCATATAATCATTTTCTCTTTCTTGTCCTATACTTTTATTCTCTTGCATGTTTATGAGAATTGCAACTTCATCATGATCCAAACAATATTCTTTCGAAGAAATTTTCAAAATAGCCCCAAATTAATTTTTTTCTAAAAATCGACCCTCTTATTTTTTTATTACAGAAACAGACTCACTTTCTTGCCACGTCAGCACCGTGGTCAGAAAGTGGGTCTATTTTTTTTAAACACCTTCCTAATTAGTCGGGGTTGCCAACCCCGACTAATTTAGACCTCGTTGCAACTCGCAAATTAGTCGGGGTTGGCAACACCGACTAATTAAGAAGATGTTTAAAAAAATAGATCCAGTTTCTGGCCACGGTGCTGACGTGGCCATAAAGTGAGTCTTTTTTTAGTAATAAAAACGAAAAAGGGTTTATTTTCAAAAAAAAGTTGGTTTGAGGCTATTTTAAAAATTTCTTCATATCCTTCCTATTATAGTTCAAACAATACTCAATGGATTAATGTTAAATGTTAATCACGTAACAAATACGAAATGGTAGTTTATTGGTAGTTAGGAAATGTTATCCATGGATTTTACCCTATTTGGCGTTAGGCAATAAGGCCTCGTTTGGTACGCGGGAATGGACAGACTTGGGAATGGAATGGAAGAAGAAATGGAATGGATTGCATGTGAGAATGCAATGGTCATTCTCATTCTCTTGTTTGGGTGCGTTCGTAGAATGAAGCTAGAATGGAAATCTCATTCCCATTCCCATGTTTGGTATCACTAGTACACAAGTAAGAATAAAATCCCATTTTCTAATAATGCCCTTACAATAACATAGATTTTTAATAAGATAAAAAATAAACATTAATGATAATAACTAAATAATTTTATATACGTATATGTTATATTAATCTAGGTATGTGTTATACTAATGCTCGTGTTATCCATCAGGTGTATGTTTCGTTTATATTTTTTAAACAATACTCGATATTTCTTAGTCTTAAAAATTAAAGAAAAAAAAGATTATCGTATCTTTCATAGGTCAAAAAAAAAAGAATGATATCCACAATCCACAGTTCTAGATATATAAATTAACTTATTTGATAAAGTATCAAAATCACTCAATTCATAATAGCAAAAATCCATAAAACAATACCAACTAAAATAATAAGTTTCGAAATAGCAAAATGATATACTAGCCTAAATTGTCAATCTAAAAATGCCCACTTGCATAGCGCCTTACCCAAACATTCTTTATTATTAATATGGATATAATTGAAAAATACCTAACTAGTTTTTGATTCTCACTTGAATGGGAATGACCATTCCTTATCTTCCCACTTGGAATGCTCATTCCCACAAATAGTGGGAATGATCATTCCTAGGGAATGATCATTCCAACATCTAAAATATAGGTGTGTTTGGTATGAGGGAATGAGAAGTGGGAATTGCATTCCATTCCTCCTCATTCCCGCGTACCAAACGAGGCGTAAGAGCTTAGCATGGCAACAAACAAATCTTAAACGTTTCAGGAAAAAAAGAAAAAGGGTTCTGCAATAATTGAGAGAGAAGAACAGCCCTATTCTTGAGGGGTAATTGAGAGGCTTCATCACTCACATCCATTGCGCACGCTAATCTTAAACAGTTATCTCAATGGTAGGGGGTTTTGTGATAGTAAAACAACGGCGAGGGGTTTCATATAAATGTCCAATTGAAGCCCAGGGATGTTGATCAACCATTGACACTTTAGAAAGCCCATTACTATTATGGGCTAGATGAGGCCGCTATACAATGGCATGTGTAGAACTTTATCTTATGCTGAGCTTTTTTTCTCTCTCTCTCTTTTTTTTTTTTTTTTTTTTTTTTTCCCTCTCTTCAGTCTCGTGTAACTAAATTTTATGTTTTGCTCTCTTTCACAAATTTCGTCAGAGCTCAGGCCTGGAATATGTGATATTTTTAGAAGCCTACCTCCTCCCCCTTCAATATTCAGTGAAACTCAAAGTTCATGGGGACACGATCCCCTGCAACTTTTGTAGTTCCTTAATCATAGTGGTCTATTAAAAATGTAGGGATTTTTAGACATTAGTCCCTTAAATAATTAATCACCCTCGAATCTTGATATTATGATATCTGTCTCTCAATTGCGTTAATGTGTTGATACTAGTCTCTCTGTTAGTTTTACTGTTAAAACCCTTGACTATGGTTAGGTTTATACTAACCATTTGGATAGTTAATTACCAAAATACCCCGCTCTTCATGTTGACATTTGTAAACTCTCTGTTCTCGTATAATTATAAATATCTCGCAGAAGAAGAAAAAAATTTGTCCTGAGAGAATTACAAATTTTCCTTGCCCATCCAAAAAATATAGTATTTGTAGCTTAAAACACAATTGAATATACAGATAATTTAATTAAATCAAAAATCCTCATAACTCCGGAAAGTCATGCAACTCTCCAACCTCCGTAAACGTCCTCAGCCAAAACTCCACATCCTCATCATAAACCAAACTGTTCAAGTCTGATTGTTCATCGAAATTGCAAGATGCGTCTCCTCTTACCAGAGCTAAATCCATAGAGAACGCTTCATTCCAAAAACTATCATCGATGGTCGCCATATGCTCTTGTGATAATGACTCCATAGATTCATTTCTGAGGTAACCCATATCATAACCAGATATCTCACTGCTTGACCAGTTCGACGATATCGATCCGGTGCTATTATCTTCTGAGCTTGATTGGATTGGAATGGTTTGCATGACTGTAGGATTTGATGCGAATTCGACCGAATTTTGATGGATTAATTTTATGGACTTGGATTCAACCTGAGCAGTTTTGGACTCTGCTGGTCGAACTTTTGAGTTGGATTCTTGGACTGAATGATCTGCAGGCTTCTGTAGTCGTTTCTTCAGGTGAGTGTGCCACACATTCTTGATTTCATTATCGGTTCTTCCTGGTAATCTCGCCGCGATTGCTGACCACCTACACGTAATAGAAAAAAATTTGTATAAGAAACTAATTAATTTTGTATTTGTGTTTATTTAATTTACTAGTAGATAGTTTATTTAAAAATTAACGTTATGTAAAATGCGTCTATATATGTTGCCGTTATATATTTCTTTCATGGCAATTGCATTTTTGATGTAGCAAAATAGTTGCTATATTTAAATTATTTTATCTAATGTACTTGAGAGCAAGCGGGCAAGAGGGGACACCATAACATTGAACGAAAACAAAAGGAATGATAATCGATCTTGAAATTTCTTCGTCACACGAAATCCTTAACTGTTTTCTGTACGTCTACTCGATCTTCTATGCTTATAGGAGGATCCAAAGAACCATTGTTCATACCACAGTAAATGCTACAGCGAATTACTGTAGCATAAACAGCAAACCGGTATGGCCCTCCGCACTTGAAGTTACCGTTCATGCCATTACTGTAGTATAGATAGTGATCAAATCTGAGCCACTATACTTGAAGCTAATATATATTCATTCTACAGTATTTACTGTATTATAAACAGTACTAAAGCAAATTAAATATATTGAAACGTGGATTCTCCTTTTAAGTATAGAGGAGTAGATGTGATTTTTAAATCAAATGTATTAAAATTTAGATCATTCTTTAAATATATAGGAATATATATGATACAAGGGACTAGTATATTGACTTAATTGGAGAAATCAAAGGAGGAAGAAAATGATAGGCACTAGGCAGCCAATTAAGAATAAATAAATAAATAAATAAATAAATCCCATAATGAGAATTTATGTCTGAACATTATTGAGCTAGCTTTTACCTGTTCCCAAGCATCTCATGCAAATTGATGATCATATCCTCTTCTTCTCTGCTGAAGTTCCCTCGTTTTATGTCGGGTCTCAAATAATTCGTCCATCGAAGCCTACAGCTCTTCCCACACCGTAGAAGCCCTGAAGATGGGTAAAAAAAAAAGAACTCAGCAATAACTCATTTCAAAAAATAGTATATTATAATGCAATATATATATATATATAAGGATTTATTTCATCTAATTGTAAAAATTTTACCAGCTTGTTTGGGGAGAGCTCTCCAATTTCCATGCCCATATCTCTGAATATAAGAGACCAGTACCATATCTTCATCCTCGGTCCATGGCCCCTTCTTCAGTCCCATTTTCTCACAGCAAGGAGCTCTCACCATTTTTTTTCCTCCTTTTTCTTAATTTTCTCTCTCTTTTGTGCTTAATTATATAATCTTTAGTATTAATTAGGCTCTCTGAAACCGAGAGCACTGCGATTGAGCTTGATTAATTTGCCACCCTCTTCCTTCGAGCTATTTATTTATACAGGGAGTCGGAGAGTGGGGGAATTAGGAAACGTGATCGAATTGGTAAACAAGTGTCTCCCTCGAGTTAGGTGGAAATTTCGAAGAAATCGGTAGTCCCCCCACTTGATGCGTTTTGTGCTGATATTATTTATAGCCCTTTTTAGGATCGTGTCGATAGATGTTGTGTTTTTTTTTATTGATCAGTTTATTTATTCGAGCGTGGGTCCCACTGCTCCCGAGGGGGCCTAAAAGACAAATAATTTTCTTTGACTTACTTGTCAACGAAATTGACCGCGTTCACTGTCGTGTTGCGCCTCACGACGCCCTGGTCAAACTTTCGACAAGCGGGAGTGGAAATTTGCCGTAGTACAATTGAAACCGTAATTTTTTTTTTTTTTAACGAGGCCAACATTTCTTTTCCTATAATTTGTGGATTAGGCGCCGCTTTGATTTTGTCTCTACTGATTAACCGTTCAGATACAGGTACTTGCATGAACCTAATTAATATTTGTTGTTTTATTGAACTTTTGAATCAAAAATTTTCAGATTTGGTAGTAGTGGTAGCTGTCAATCGTGAGTTGTAGACAGGTAAAAGGAAAGGAAAAATAATAATAATTCAAAGTATACGACATTTATGTATTTAGGTGTTATAACTTCAGAGTTTTGACGTAGTAGTAGGGACGTGATAGTGATATCAAAATAATCCGGCGTTAATTCCAATCAACCGCTATTTTAAATAAATAATATCCCATAAGCACCCTCATCGAAACTTCAAAGGTCTGGTGCGATAATAGACTTATCCATACGTTTAAGTTTAATTTTAGAAAGGATATCATGAACGGTAAAGTGTACAAATAGGCAAGGAGGGATTGTCGCCACATGAAAATATTGAAATATTGGAAAATTATGTTTTTAACTGATTTTATTTAGGATACAAGTACGTGCATATGCGCGTCTTTTGGTGACACATCAACAGTTTGGATGGGGGGAAATCCTTGAAGATCTTCTCGAGAAAATCTATTCCTCTATACAAATGGGAGAATCCAAGATTCACTATTTATGTTACAGTAAATACTAATTACAGTAGCATTTACTGTAGCAAATATGAAACTGAACACTACGTTTTTGAAAAACTATTACTGTAGAACACGAGAATACTGTAGCAAAGACGAGATATTGTAGTAATATATTCAAAAAATTCAAAAACCTGTATCACTTAAATCAGGATTATTGTAGCGAGAAAAAATGCAGTGTTCACACTAGTTATATAGAAAGGAAGAAAATTTTTACATGTTTTTTTCTAGCAGGAATCTTAAAGCTTGTAGTTGATAAATATTGACAAAGCCAAATTTTAAAAATATAATTCCCCGCACTCTATATAATTTTTTAGGGAAAAATGTGTCCAGGCCCCAAAAGCAAAAACTTCATGTGACAAAGCCCCTCATATTTTTTCCCATGTGGATCAGTCCCTTGAAGTGTGACACTTTGTACTGCAGCCCCTTTTTATTAATTATCACATGCCAGCTAAAGTAAAATTCTCAAACTATCATTATCCTCTCTCCTCTCTGACCCAACACTCACATCATCTCTCTCTCATCTCTCCTCTCTCTCTCTCTCTCTCTCTCTCTCTCTCATCTCCTCTCTCTCTCTCTCTCTCACCTCTCTTTAAAACTAAGAGCTTTTCTCTCTCTCTCTCTCTCTCATCTCCTCTCTCTCTCTCTCTCTCACCTCTCTTTAAAACTAAGAGCTTTATTAAGCTCGCCGTCCTGGCCGAGACGCACAGAGCATTAATCTATTAGCTAGAAGAAGAAAAGAAAAAAAAGAAAAAAAGAAAAAAAAGAAAAAAGAAAGGTAATGGGAAGTAGAGTAGAAGGGGAATGAAGAGAAATATCGTAATTAAGAAATAACGAAAATGTGTATTAATGTATCTCTATGAATGAAATTGCCACGGTGCCGCCGAGCGATATTCGAAACAATATAACGAGAGGTAGAAAATGAGCCCAAATGAAAGAAAGATACCGTGTGATAGACAATATAAAGGGCTACACACCGGCGCAGACGGTAGTGAAAACGGAGACCGGAGGTGGCCGTAAAACACGCGCGAAGTCGACACGGCGCTGCTGTTTTCTGCTCGCTGCTGCCGCCGAGCGATGTTTCGGATGTTACCGAGAAATATAGAGAATGAGTTAGAGCGTGATACAAATTAGAGGTGATAGGAAACATATAGGGCTACTCACCAAAGAAGAAATCGGCGAAAACGGAGATTGGAGACGATCAGAAAGTGCGTGCAAAGTCGGCACAAAACTATAGTTCTAGCCCACATCCCACCAGTTCTAACTTGTATCCCACCAGTTCTAACTTGTGTTTGCGCCAAAAGTTGCTTCCATTGATAATTCTATTGAACTTCGGTCGTTTACAACGAATTACAATGAAAAAATTAGAAAATTACAACTCTTGAGAAACTAACACAGAAGTCGTTTATCGAATCCTGTTTTTGTGGGACTTTGCCTGTGCCGGGAACGCTTTAGTTCGTGGACCGCCGAATCACAGATCGTGAAGGGGGTTTAATGATTCTGACTTCGTTTATCGAAGTGAGAACTTGAAACGATATCTGTAGGCATATAAAATTGCTTATAGGTCCCCTAGCACAGCTCGGCACAAACCGACGAACCAACGAGGCGACGAGATTGACGAATCGCACAGAAGCGACGGAATGCATCCACCCGCGTGCAGAATCAAGCTAATGAGTTGAGGAATCAACGAGTCATCCAACCGAGAGCGGACTCGGAGGAATCACGATCGAATCAAGATCAATTTCGGACTCGAACTCAGAAGCGGATTTACTGCCAAATCAGGAATCCAACTTACTGCCAAATCAGATCAACCAATCAGAGTCTCAATCAACCGAATCACGGACAGAACCGGAAACAACGGAAAACGACTCGAAAAAGTCGGAAAACACCGCCCGCGGGGGCTCGGCCAAAGCCGAGCCACCTCAAGGTGGCTCGGCCTTGGCCGAGCCACCTCAAGGTGGGGGGTGGCTTCGGCGGCCGAGCCACCTCGGGGTGGCTCGGCATGAGCCGAGCCACCTCGGGGTGGCTCGGCATAGTGCCGGGCCACCCAGAGGTGCCGACAGTGGCCAGAGGTGCGCGACATTTCCTTTTTTGCAGCCACTGTCCTGAGAGCCTATAAATAGGCCTAGAGATGTTCATTTTCAGAGGTCGAACTTTCAAGAGCGAAACTCTGTCGGATTGAAGAGTGAACTCGGAACTTTGAAGACCAGAAGACTTGCACATTCGGATCTGATCCTCGGCGACCATCCACGTCAAGAAAAGGCAGGATCTCGAGAGGAAGAAAGAACAGATCTGAGATCTACACGAGACTACACTCCAGATCTAAGCTATGGTCTTAGATCTCGAGATCTGAGCGATTATTCCCTTGGTGGATTAATCCCTCCCCGGCTTATTATTCCCTTCGTGGAATAACACCCGCATATTCGTGTAGATCCGACGGATCTAGAATCGCGCGGTGGTCAACGGATTAACCCCGGCGTCGGCAAAGAACCCACACAAGCAAGCAACCGCAAAACAGGAGCTTGCGATTTGTTCACAAGAGGAAAGTTGTAATTTTTATTTTTTTCTTTGATTTAGTTGTAACCGGATCTATAAAAGACCGGATCTTTGTAACCCAAGATGACAATCATATCAATGAAAAAGAAAACAGTTTTCCACGCGAACAATTAG